GGCTGCCACCCACTGGAAGACATTGGAAGGCTGTAAACACCACTAAACGCCCTCTCCCGAGTGCTCTGTGGAGCATTCTGTTGGATGCCGCGCGCCTGGGGGCGGCCGCTCTCCGGAAGACGGTCATAGGGGCACTAATTCTTGGGAGCCACCTGTCTTGTTTCGAGAGACTTCGGGGGCTTCCAGAACAGGGGCACCCCAGTCCTGGGTATGTCGTGCTAGTGGTAGGTCAAAGAAACCTTTCCTGGAGCAGTCGTGTTGCTTGTATGTTTGAGGGAAACTAAACTGTGCTGGAGCAGTTGTCTTGCTTGTATGATGGAGGGAAACTAAGCTGTCCCGGAGCAATCGTCTTGCTTTTATGCTCGGTCGGAGAAAACTGTCTTGGGTATGTCGTGCTAGTGGTAGGTCGAAGAACACTGTCCTGGAGCAGTCGTGTTGCTTTGATGTCGGGGGAAAACTAAACTGTCCTGGAGCAGACTACACTGTCCTGGAGCAGTCGTGTTGCTTTTGTGCTCCGTCGGAATTGTCTTGGAGCAGCCAAATTCTGGGTATGTTGTGCTAGTGGTAGCAGTCATGTTGCATTTATGCTGGGTCGGAGAAATCTGTCCTGGGTATGTCGTGCTGCTGGTAGGTCGTCCTGGTATTGTCGTGCTAGTGGTAGGTCAGAGGGAAAACTGTCCTGGAGCATTCGTGTGGCTCTTACGTTGGTGGGCAGGGGGGCTAACTAAACTGTCCTGGAACAGTGGTATTGGAGGGGGAGGGCAGGCAAAGATTTCAATGACGCCTTTCTGGTTCAATATGATTAGACCCCCTTTCTTCAACATACTTAAGCCTGTTGCTTCAATCTAACTAAGCTTGCTTGGTTGAAGTTGTTTCAACCTTCCTCCTCTGTTGACCAGAGAGGGGTAGCTCCAAAAGCTTCACTCGACCAAAGAGGGGGATACAGGCTCCAAAGGCCTTCACTTGACACATGTTTTGTTGCTGAGTGACCTTAGAGCAAAGCCAATGGATCGAATTTCGCTGTGCAGCTCGGTAGTTTGAAATCTTCGTACGACATTTGACCTTAAATGCAACGTCGTTGGATCGAACTCACCGTGCAGCTCGGCAGTTTGAAATCTTAGGGGGTTGTCGTTCAAAATTCGAGTCGTGACACATGCTGGTTCGTGTTGGCCTGACCTTAGATGCTGAGTCGTTGGATCGAACTTCACCATGCAGCTAGGTAGTTTGACGTCTTAGGAGGATATCGTTCGACGTTCCAGTCACCATACACTTTATGTGGCTGACTGACTTCATCAAGGTTGGCCGACATCTAGAAACCGTTTGGGACGTGGTCGACGCACAGATTACAGTGAGTTTTCGTTTGCAACTTTATTTTGAATTTGGGTCTGGTGTGCCGGACCGGGCTGGGGCGTAGCTGTGCTTGAAAACAAGGACAAACAATCTCTATTTCTTTCTTTCTTGAGGGTGTAGGGTTTAGGGTGGGCGGGCAGGGCAGGGCAGGGCAATGCAGGGCGGGGCCGCAGTGGGCACGGCAGGGCAGGGCAGAAGCCAAAGGGCGGGGAATCCATCGTCGTGGGTTTGGGGTTTATTTTTATTGCGAAACGGCAGCGAGGTGGGACCTTCGGTCGCAGCCTCGAGCGCCGGCAGTTTAGGGTTTTAGGGTTTTAGGGTTTCTCTTCAAAGAGCCACAAGATACCAGGCACCTGCACTAGTCTCGTCCGGCAGATGTGCCATTAGGGAAAACTCGCGTAATGCAAAACACCTTGAGAATTGGAGGATCCTGACATTCTGGGCAGAACCCATCCCGAAACTCTAAACCGTAATAAACCTTAAACCTTAAACTCTAGACCTTAAGCTCTAAACCCTAAACTCTGAACCCCACACAGGAAAAGCCAAACCCCGAAACCGTAATCCTAGACTCTTCCCTCCTCTGTGCTTGGTCTCCGCATGGCATCTCCACCCTTTAAGCCCTCCCCTGTAAGTCCCCTTTAAGCCCCTTAAAGGGCTTAAACCCTAAATCGTAAATCCTAAACCCCCTGTAAGTCCCCTTTTAAGCCCCTTAAAGGCCACCTTTAAGGCGAACCCTTTGGAGCACCATGACCGAGGACCCATCCCTCCTTCCACGCCTTTGCGCCTCTTCTGGGACCTGAGCGGCCTCGCTCTGATCATGCAGCTCAGCTGAAAAGAAAAGTTGGGCTTTTAGGGTTTGGGGTTTAGGGTTAGGGTTTAGGGTTTAGGGCTTTAGGGATATAGGGTTTAGGGTTTTAGGGTTTAGGGCTTTAGGGATATAGGGTTTAGGGTTTTAGGGTTTAGGGTTTAGGGTTTCGGGGTTTAGGGTTTAGGGTTTAGTTAGGATTTCCGGGTCAGCCTGCCCCCAACAGGAATCCCCCTTATGGTAGCAGCTATGTAATTATGCATTCGCACCCTACAACTTGCCTCATTGAAAGGGCTGTAGCTACAAGAGGGATTGACTCGGCGTCCGAATTTAAATGATTGGAAGCCCAAGGCCGTACCTTCCTTTTACCTCGGCCCGCAGCCTTGTTGCCTTGAATGTTCATTGGGGGGTTTGTCTTGAACTGGGGTTTCGAGCAAGCCCCTTACACTCTACGAGGCACCAGAAACTTCTTGTGCAAGCCGCCTTCACAAATCAAATCTTGAAAGGCCCAAGAAACTTTTGCAATGCCTGCATGAACCCTACAAAACCGTAGCCTTTCACCTCAAATGCCCGAAATCCGGAACCCTAAAACGGCCTAAGTCTGAACCCGAAACCACCAAAACAAACCCAAGAATTCATACACGACCTTCCGCAAGGAACCCCAGGACCCCTTCAAAAAGCCTTAAAGCACTTTAGAACCCTAAGCCCTAGGCCGTAAATCCTACACCCTAAAACCCTAAATGCTAAACCCCAAACCCTAGGCCCTAAACGTCCCTAAGCCCTAACCCCTAAACCCTAAACCCCAACCCTAGACCCTAAACCCCAGATCCCTAAACCCTAAACCCCTAGTCAGCTCGGAGGTACGACATCTGCGCGATTCCCTTGGAAGCCTTCGAGTTCCCCAGGAGTTCTGGCGGATAGGGTTTAGGGATTTTAGGGGATTTAGGATTTGGGGATAATTCGGGATTTTAGCGGATTTAGGGTTTAGGGATAATTCGGGATTTTAGGGGATTTAGGGTTTAGGGATAATTCGGAATTTTAGGGGATTTAGGGTTTAGGGATAATTCGGAATTTTAGGGGATTTAGGGTTTAGGGATAATTCGGAATTTTAGGGGATTTAGGGTTTAGGGATTTGGAGGAATTCGGGACTTTAGGGGATTTAGGGTTTAGGGATTTGGAGGAATTCGGGATTTTAGGGGATTTAGGGTTTAGGGGATTTAGGGTTTAGGAATTTGGAGGAATTAGGGATTTAGGGGATTAGGATTTAGGGAATCGGGGGGGATTTAGAGTTAAGGGCTTAGGATCTTGGGATTCCACACACTTAACGAACACACACGCACACAACACGCACACCCTCAGACAAACGCAGACAAAGACACAGATCCGTCTACATGCAGAGTATTTCTCAACGGAAAACCCCTGCACTAGCTACCTGAAAAGGACCAAAACTATGTGAACTAAATCGGTTATTGCAGATCAGGCCGATTTTTTCCACATGTAAATTTTAGAGGATTTACGGTTTAGGATTTAAGGGATTTAGGGGGCAGGGATTTGGGGGATTTAGGGTTTAGGGTCTGGGCTATAGGGGGTGTAAGGATTTAGGGGATTTCGGGTTTAGGGTTGTAGGGTTTAGGGGATTTTTGGTTTTCATGTTCCAAAACGGGGCTTTGGGGGCCTTGACCCTTCGAAAGGAGTCAGCGTGCAACGATGTCTCCTTCGACAACAGCACCTCCCAAAGCATCGCAAACTGAGAAGCCCACCGAACCTCCAAACCGCCGGAACGCAGCAGCACGAAAGGGCAGAAGCATTCAGGCAAGCATAGTGTCTCCGGATCCCTTCGAGATTTTCACATAGAAGCAGTTCTGCGACTTCGCCCAGACTCGACACTCCGACGCTCGCAAAAGAGCAAAAGAGCAACGCAGCTTGCAGGGGGCCAAGGCGTCTAGGCACGAGCCTTCGACGAGACCCCGGAACAGGGCAGCGCAGCACACAATCAGGGCGATGTCAAATCTTCACACGGGCGGGGAGCGCGGAACAACGTTCGGGTCTGCAGGTGTTTTCTGTAGGAGGGGTGGAGTCTAAAACCAGACCGAGTTTCCATAAACCCGTTTATACATTCCTAATGTAGGAACCTGATTAACAAACCCCTGGCCCCAGAACCCCCAATATAGTAGGTTCAAGGAACCCTAATAAAGGCCCAAGGTTTCTTAATCAGGTTCCTACATTACTGTAGTACCCTTATAGATCCCTTATAGATCCTTTATGGTAGCCGTTATAGACCCCTTTGAAGGAACCCCTTTCTTAATCAGGTTCCCACTACCTACATTAAACCCTAAACCCTTTATAGAATCTAAGAACCCTTATAGATCCGTTTGAGGAACCCTGATAGGATCTACCCGTGGAGCCAGATTCGAAACCAATGAAAGTCCACGAGAACCAGCTCTGCAACCCCTTGAAAATCTCATGGGATAATATAGGGGCATATAACAAATACATACGCTATTTTGGGGGTTCCCTATGATAATTAGAGGAGAATGGGCAACCCTATTCTAATTCTGAAGGCCCCTATATTAGAGCCTTAAAGGCCTCAAAGTCCTGTCATGCTGCTATTGCTGCTAGGCGAGGGGTGCCGCTTGCTTGTCTGGGCATTTGTTCGTTGTTTGTCATTCGTCGTTCGCCGTCTGTCGTTGTGGTGGTTGCTGTTGTTCTTGTTGTTCCTGTTCTTGTCGTTTTGGTTGTGATTGGTTGCCGTTCTTGTTCTTGGTTTTCTTCTGTTTCTTCATGGGTCCATCATCGCCATCGTGAAAGATGCCACAGACGTGCGAGGACACTGTTTCACGACCTCATGGACTGGATTGCTTTGGCGGCTCGTTTGCAAGTACCCAGCAACCCAACATAGGAAGACATACTGCTTGCTTTCGCCAAGATCTTCTGGACAGTGGACGTGCTGTTCAGCTTTGTGACGGGCTACTACTACAATGGGCAACTTGTGCTGGCCGCTCTTCTTGGAAAGCAGCTTCCGTTCCGTCGAAGTGCGTTGCAATCTGGCAGTGTTAGGATGCTCCAGCAGCAATTGAATGATGGTGTGGCTTGTTTAACATTGGCGGAGAAGGACACCAAGATGTCGAATCCAATGCTACTGCTAGCTCTAGTGCCTAAAGAAGAAAGACGAATACCGGTTCTGACATATGATTCACGTATTCATAGCTTTCATAAGTTGTTTCTATGTCTCAGTTCTGTTACTGTTGTGCATCCACTTGCCTGTAGTTGCCACAGCCTGAGGCCTTATGGGCCACTGGGCCATGTACCATCACATAAACAAGCCGCACACTGTGGAATGGCTCTGGCAGGTTCTTTCAGAGTATCAAAAATCCCCTAAACCCCAAACCGTCCTTCGGCTAGGCGATGGGTTTGTATAGGTTATGTTGGGGTTTCGACATCAGGAGTTTCTTCAATTTAATAAGGGATGCTATATACTTGAGGCTGGTACTCGGTTTTTGTCATACCAGCTCGGGGTCTGCTGTCTTGGGTTGAGGTTTCGCATTTAGGGTTGTTCGATTCCGGTGCGTGTCCCTGTTCATCCTCTGTCGTTGGGTCAGGCATGCGCATTCCCTCTCAAAATCGGAATCCGAGGACCCCCACAAGATCGCAATCCACTACCTGACCACTTGGTTTTTCTTGGATATTGCCCGGAGCCTAATGAGAGAATGCTGCCACTGTAGCCCAGGCTCTTAGAAGTGCTTGCAAATGGCCGCCAGACATCCGATGGTCCAGGGAGCGGACGTTTGCACTTGAGGGTTTCTTGTTAATGTAGGCTCGTGGATCTTCATAGTGCTTGAGGAGGGGTTCTTACATCTTGGGTACCTTGAGATCTGCTGAATGAAGGGTCCTACCTTTTGAAGCTCTATATTCGTGCCGAGTCGAAATCTTGCTCACATCTGACATGTTTTTGTTGTTAGATGATCCCCTAAACCTTCAACCCCACAACCCTAAACCTGCGGTTTCCAAAACCACCCACAGACCACCAGGAACAGCACTAGGCCACCAGGACTGGGACCAGCAACCAGGACAGCCCAACATGCCCTACATAGGTTGCGGGATCAGAGCCGCTGAAACCCAAAACCTAGGCTTGAGGGCAGGGGTCTGGAATTTGAGGTTTACGGCGGCCAGAGGTGTAGAGAAATAGAAGATCAGCTAATGTGGGGGCCTTGATTTAGAATGGGGTTTGAGGGGTATATTAGACCATAATGATAGTAGGGAGCCCCAAAACCCTATTCCAATTATTAACGCCCGCCCGACATAACCTCGCAGGACCCTTATGATACCTCATAACACCGTCTGCAAGCCATATCCCATATAAACAACACACAACACCACTTTGGTCGGACCCCAAACCTCAAACCCTTAACTCTAAACCCCAACCCCAAAGCCCTAAACCCAAACCCTAAACCCCAAAACCCTCAACCCTAAACCCCAAAACCCTAAGCCCTAAACCCCAAAACCCTCAACCCTAAACCCCAAAACCCTCAACCCTAAATCTCAAAACCCTAAACCCTAAACCCCAAGCCCAAAACCCTAAACCTTAAACCCCAAAATCCTCTGAGGCCGTAATCGTACCCGAGTGGCTTACCATGGTAGCCGGATCTGAAGCCTTGAGCTTTGCTGGGACCCTCGGCGGCGCTCCCATTTCCAGGGTTTAGGGATTGGGGTTTAGGGTTTGGGGTTTAGGGTTGAGGGTTTTGGGGGTTTAGGGTTCAGGGTTTGGGGTTGAGGGTTTTGGGGGTTTAGGGTTCAGGGTTTGGGGTTGAGGGTTTTGGGGGTTTAGGGTTTAGGGTTTGGGTTTGGGCTTTAGGGTTTAAGGTGAAGGTCTCCTTTTTTGAGGTTTCAATTCAGATTTTTTGAGAGTTTCTGGCAGTGCCGCCGCTGCTACCACCAGCCCAAACCAGCCCCCATAATTAATCCCACAGCCCGAGCCTCGTCGGAGGCAGTGGCAAGGCTAGAGCTTTGTCACACGGGCTAGAGGCAGAGGCTGTGCCCAGAGGCCGGCAACGGAGGTGCCAGCTTTCTCTTTCTCAGGCGTCACTTGTGCGTCCGGCCACACCTTGAACCCCCGAATCCTAAACCTTGAACCCCGAACTCCTAAAGCCCAAAACCCCGGAGTTCCGGATCCCGAAGCCCTCAACCCAAGACCCTGAAGCGCAAATTCCAAACCTTAATTCCAGAATCCCGAAGCCCTCAACAATGCTTCCGAGCTTCGTGGCACTGCCTGCCACAGGATCGGCCGTGCGTTGAGGCTGGGGCCTCGTTTCAGAGGACGACAGTTTCTGATTTGAGTTTGCTTATAGAGGGATTGCGGCATTCAGGGTTTTGGGTTTAGAGCATGGGTGTTTGAGGATTCACTCTGAGGTGTAGTGTAGAGTTCAATGTTTACACGGTTCAGGTTTCAAGCGCCGGGCGAGGGCTTTCTGGCGTTTTGGGGGTTCTGTGCCTAGGTGAAAAGTCCGACTCTTCCTGGCCAGCTACTGTAGGGGCCTTAACAATTAGAATAGGGTTTTGGTGCCCATTATACCATAATTATTCAGTTATATAATAGCACAATAAGGAACCACCCCAAAATTGCAGTGGTATTTATGTAGTCCCCTAGAGTACTAAGTCCATCATCCCCGGGACAAAGCCTGAACGGAAGACGGTCCGAGCAGATTCACCACAAAGAGGCAGATACCATGCGGGACACCTAACTATTCGTGAACTATAGATTCCATCTAAGGCCCCTAACCATTCCTGATCCGTTGCTTCGGGGGACGGCTTTTGTGTTGGACTGCCGCGCCGAGGCTTGGCAAAGCCATGCGTGTGGTCAGGCTGTTGCGCGTGCTGAAGCTCAGGCACCCGCATTCAACTCTAGAGCTGCCAACGCCTTATAGGACCCTTTAGGACATTCGAATGGTGATGCTCTTTGCGATGATCGCGTCTAGCTATCTGACACATCATCGGAACTGCTGCTGATGCTGCTGCTCCTCCTTGCAGTCGTGCTTGTGGTAGTGCAACTCTTACTGTTAGTAGCCGTGGCAACGGCAGTGGTTGCAGGAGGATCCGTAGCAGCGTCAGCAGCAGGCGTCGTTGTCGTCGTCGTACTCCTGGTTGTGGTCGTCGTAGTCCTCCTCGTCGTCATTACAGTAATTAATACTCGCACTCGTACTTGGACTCGCAGTACTCCTGCTTTGTTTTGTGTTTTTTTGCTAGTATTATTATCATTATTACTACTACTACTACTACTACTACTACTGCTACTACTGCTACTACTACTACTACTACTACTACTACTATTACTACTACTACTACTACTACTACTACTACTACTACTACTACTACTACTACTACTACTACTCCTACTACTCCTACAACTCCTACAACTCCTACAACTCCTACTCCTACTCCTACTGCTGCTGCTACTGCTACCCGTACAACTACTCCTACTCCCAAAACCCTAAACCCTAAACCCTAAACCACTTACTCCTACGTCACTTGCCACTGCCACTGCCACTACTGCTGCTGCTGCTCCTACTGCTACTACTGCTCCTGCTGCCACTGCTGAGACTTTTGCTGCTGCTGATGATGCTTCTGCCTCTGGTTATTGCTCCCACTCTGACACTTGTACTACTCGTGGCAGCTCTGCGGTTTAGGGTTTAGGGGTTCAGGGTTTAGGGTTTATGGGTTTAGGGTTATGGGTTTGGGGGTTCAGGGTTTAGGGTTTATGGGTTTAGGGTTTGGGGTTTAGGGGTTTAGGGTTTGCGAAGTGCAGAGGCGGATCTTGGATGCCGTCCTGGAACGAATTCAGAGCGAGCTGAACCCCCGGTCTGATCCGTCTATCTATGGTAGCAGCGGTAGGAGAATGGTAATACGGTTGATATAGATCCTGCACTACCCACAATAAGGAATATACCATAAATCTCATAGTCTAGGGCCCTTAAGGTAATGCAGGATTTATATCATCAACAGTATGAGGAGAGAGAGAGAGAGAGAGAGAGAGAGAGAGAGAGAGAGAGAGAGAGAGAGAGAGAGAGAGAAAGAGTCGGGGGGAGGGAGAGTCATTGCATCTACTGTCTGCAGGTTCGCTGTTTGGGGTAATTTTTTATTTCAAGGCCCGTGGAGCATCCGGAGTTTGTGGCTTAGGCGTCGGGTTGTGGGGTCTGTTGGAAGTCGTAAAGTTCTGGTAGAGGCCTTCTGGACGATTGCTGTTCCCATTACTGTTCTGCTTCTTCTTCGGGTCAGCAGAGCTATCTTGATATTTCGGTTAAGAACCCTGACCCTAAACCCAAAACCCTCCTCTTTCTGTCGTCTCGTACCTTTGGTCAACGCCTCGATCCTGTTTGCATATTCTGTGATATTCGGGGCGGGGGTGGGGTGGGAGAGGGGGGATCGGATTATTGGCAACACAGGCAAATAGATAGCAACAGTAAACTGTAGACCCTAATCTCGCTAAATCCTGAGGGTAGAGCTTCGACCCAAATCGCGAGGACGACACCCTAAACGGCCCTGAGCTCTGTAGTTGGAGGTTCATGGGCAGTTATAAGTGGCGGTATGAGTAAGGTAACTGTACTTATAACCCCTAATTAGGGGACTTATGCCCACCTTTAACTACCCATGAACCTCCAAGTCTTCTATGATCAGAACCCGGAACCTCAGATTTGAACACTGAGCAACGAAATCCGAGCATAGCCAGCGTTGGACAGCTAGGAAATCATAGGAACGGTGGGCATAGTAGTCAGTCTTGCAATCTGAGGCATACCACAAATCATTGCACATAAGCCTAAAGTCACAACCCGCGGACCCGGACCTCAAGCCCAACCAAAGGAGAATCTACACCCGACATCCGATACCGTAAAGTCCAGACGCCCAGGTAGATGGCCCCTACAGTTTAGATACCTTGATTGTCTTCCGAGGTTCACTTTTCTCCTCATTTCGCTCCTACGATTGCTGCTGCTTGGCTGAAGGTAACAAGAAGGGTCAGGCTTTGACATTTCCCTGAACCCTCTGCTGTAGGGAAAAAGGGGCGTTAAGAAAAACAAACCTTAAACCCTAAACCCGTAAACCCTTTAGCCCCTTTTGATAAACCCGCCACCCTAGAGCCTCATCCTTGGCTCCCAACCGTCTGCCCTGAATTCGCAGCCTACTACCGGGGGCCTGTACAATTACTGATGCCGTGCCTTGGTTTCCCTGGTGCAGTTCTGTTTGACTTTACACTATACCAGAGTTTTTGTTCACTAGTTTTTTACATTAACACTCCAAAAGGAAGCCCTTGTTAAGTGAGCCCTTCAAGCAACCAGATAAAGGAACCTTGTTTGAATCAATGTCGTTTTATGTTTTATCATGTTTATCATTAGTTCGTTATTATTGTCAGTTTTCTGTTCTATTGCTCTCTGCGATCATTATTATGATTCATGCTTTCATCTTCATTTCTATCATTCGCCAAAAGCGGATATGCTTCTGGCATCTACAATCTGTAAAGCAAAGGCACTGTGACCAAGTTTCGGAATACCGGCTCCCGACAGCTTCAAGCATATGTGGGCAGCAACTAAAAGTCATCTACGTGGGCAGCGCGAGATCGCGCCTCAGTTTTTCCAAACGAACATATCTCTCACTGCACGGCGAAATCCAAGTGTATAGTCTTTTTGTGCACGAAGAAATATCCAAGTGTGCTCGCGGCGAGAGAGAGCAGCAGCAGGCTTTTCGGATGAGCATGCCTCTACCAACTTTGGTTCTTGCTGGCATTTTCTTATGTGTTGATGTGTTTATGCAATGTCACGAAGGCCCCACCCAAACCGGGAGCTAAAAACACAGCGCCATCTTTACTATGCTGCCGCCTTCGCATGGCAGTCGCCACGCTTAGCAGCGGGGTCGCCATAAACCCCGACGCTGGGCTGGGGCAGGTTGCAGTGTTTTGCAGGGTTTGAGGTGGGTTTAGGGTTTAGGGTTTAGCGGCTGCCATGGGATGGAGAGGGAGGGGATGAGAAACCGGAGCAGGCGGCTCGAAAGAGGCTAGCGTGTTTGAGAAACAAGAGCACACCGCACAAAAGGGATTAGAGCATTCGAGAAAGAAACACAGAGCATTTGAGCATGAAAACAAACCGTTCGAACGGGGCTAGAATGCTGGAGGAACAAGAGCACAAGCCGCTCCAATCAGCTCAGATTGCTTGGAAAGCAGGAAACTGAAGCAAAACGTTGGAAAGGGACTACGAGCGAAAGGGACTATAAAGCAAGCCGCTTGAAAGTGACTAGACTATTCAAGAAACGGGAAGGAGCATTCCGTTCGAAACCGGCTAGAATATGTTGACGGGACGTGAGGATTTGAGAAACAGCAGCGAACCACTCGAAAGCCATAGGGTATAGCTCCCGATCTGTACCGAGTTTCTTCATCGTGCTGCTGAACCATGTCATCGCGTGCCTGCCGGGCTCCGAATTTCGCATGCGAGGTATACCAGGCCTGGTGGTATGTTTTTCGATGATCTGCATAGTCTGTGCGGCTTAGGTGGTACCTGATTGGCAAGGAGACGCTCGCATCGGAGATGGTCAACTGGAGCCTTGGGCACCAGGATTCCAAAATCCAATGTTGTGTCTGAGTAGGGCGAGACACATAGTTATGGGAGTTTTGGACGACAGCGGATCCTGAAATAGATGTAGAGCATCCGTACTAGATAAGGACCGAAAAAGCAGGAGACCCCCGACGACCCCACAGGGGAAGGGGTAAGTGGTGGCCAATCCAAGCCCACTTCCAAAACGCAGGAGGAAGATGGCCTTTAGTGTCTCATAGAGTAGGCCCTAAACCGATAGATGCTAAACCCTGAACTTCAAGCATCCCCAAGCCGTTAAACCCGTAAGCAGAAACCCCCACACCTCAGGATTCAGGAGGGGAAATACGAGGACGAGGACCGCGTAGGATTTCGGTGGGAGCACGACGATTTCTCTGCGGTCTGCAATTGCATGCCGAATCGGCAGTAGTAATATCTACAAGAAACCACTGCTAATGCCAATGCTAATACTACTAGCAATACTACTAATTCTAATGCTAGTGCTAGTGCGCATGCTAGTCGTAGTGCTAGTGCTGTTACTTCTACGCTTCTACTGATGATGACAACAACAGAACATACGGCAGTTTACCTTTGCAACTACCACCACAACCCGGTTTTGACTACAGAAAAATGCTCCCTATATTCGTCAACCATCGGCCAGGTGAAATGACAGCATTCTCCGATTTGGGGCTTGCTAGGTTTCGGGGACCGTGCCGCAGTGCAGTAGCCGGATTGCTCGACGCAACAGGGAACATGGGCACAACTTCCAGGGTCGCAATGTCGCACACTCTCGCTGTGATACACCTTCAATCGCTAAAGCTAGTCCCTGGAACAACACTAACCGCAAAACCTTAAGCCTTAAGTTTCCGAACCCTACATAAACCCTAGGCTAAATCCTCAACCCCAAGGCGGGAAGCACCAGTACTTGGAGGTTCGTGGGTAGTTATAAGTGGAGTTATAAGTAACATAACTCTACCTATAACCCTTATTAGGGGACTTATAACCACACATATAATTTCCGTACACCCTAAACCCCAAACCCTAGAACCCTAAACCCTAAATCCCTCTGGATCCCTGTAAAGGCACCTTAAAGGAACCCTTATAACACCCATGACCCTCCAAGCAGGTTTCAGCCTTTCGCCGCAAGAGCCCCCGCCCGTTGGGAGCAGGACCAAACCTACAAGTACTTCACATCTCTCCACTGGGCCGGGAGCACGAAGAGAGAAATACAGTGTTAGTAAACGTTACCACTAGATATTATAACTCATCATTATAATAATAGATACTATATCTAATCATCATAATAACTGTTAGGCTGCTAAAGTAGGTATTGAATAAGAATATATACGTATAAGAGAGAGCCTCGATGTGTGAGATTTTAGGGTGGTCTGGGGTTTAGCCGAATCTGGTGCTTAGGCGTTCCTGTTGGGCAGCTCAGGTTGTTGCTTTGGGGCGCTGGGGTTGAGCGGTTCTGGCGAAAGCATTGAAGCTGAAGCCCAACCCCAATCCCGAGTCCTAAGGCCTAAACCCGGAACCCTTTAAAGGAACCCTGAAAGTAAAGGAGCCCTTAAAGTACAGGAGCCCTTGAAGTACAGGAACTCTTAATTAAAGTAGAGTACCCCTTAAAGCATAGGAGAAACTAAAGTATAGGAACCCTTAAAGTACCAGAACCCTTAAGGGAACCCTAAAGAAAACCTTCTTGTCGCAAGGGGGATCGCAGCTCTGCTTGCTCCGCTGAGGCGCTGACTCAGTTCACGCCAGCCTCCATGAACGTGAGTGCTACCAATGCTGCCTGGGCTGAACAAGCGTTTCCGTATGCTTTTTTTGTCAGGGTCCAAATCGCACACCACCAGTTGGATGGATTTGCTGAGGTCTACGAGCGGATTTTCTCAATCGCCGTGCTTTTCTTCGCCATGGTGGCGTTCTCCTCCATTGTGGGAGGCAGTGGGAGCAGCAAAGGGCTCGTAGTGCGAACGTTTGTCCTGCACAGGCGTGACTGCCTCCATGACCCAGCTGCAGAACTTGCCTTTGCCCAAGGTACTATCATGTCTACAAGTAGCATTACTGTCCTTGTGGATTTTTGTAAGCTGAGTCTTTTTCAGTCTTCTTGTGTTTGCTGCCATTAGTTACATCAATGAACTGCTATTTCGGGTAGCTGTGGTTTTCTGAGGCGAAGCAACCACATGAAGCAGTTCTGGATCTTGCGCCGCTATCTGAAGCAGAATGGTGTCGGCAAGGCCCCCACTGAGTATCAGCGATGTCTATAGCTAGACAGCAGCAAGCTACGACACCAACAGCAACACGAAAATCAACCGCAGCAACAGCAGAAGTACCAGCAGCCACTATCACAAAGGTGGTGGTGGTGGTTGGGACAGCGACAGTTACTCCATAGGACGACGACTACTGCGACGACTACGCCACCCAAAATGCTACTAGTGCACCTAACTGCTTCCGCCGCTCGTCCTCCTCCTCCTCCTCCTCCTCCTCCACTAGTACTGGTACTGGTCCTAGTACTAGTACTAGTACTGGTACTGGTACTGGTACGTAGTAGTAGTAGTAGTAGTAGTAGTAGTAGTAGTAGTAGTAGTGGTGGTAGTAGTGGTAGTAGTGGTAGTAGTGGTAGCAGTAGCAGTAGTAGTAGTAGTAGTACTACTACTACTAATACTGCTACTGCTACCTCTACTACCACTACTACTACTACTACTACTACTACTACTACTACTACTACTACTACTACTACTACTACTACTGCTACTGCTACTGCTACTGCTACTGCTACTGCTACTGCTACTGCTACTGCTACTGCTACTGCTACTGCTACTGCTACTGCTACCACCACTACTACTACTACTGCTGCTACTACTACTACTACTACTACTACTACGACTGCGACTACTCCTACTCCGATTCCGAATCCGTCTCCTACTCCTGCTAATGCTCCTGCTGCCACTGCCACTGCCACTACTCCTACCACTACCACTAGCACTACTACGACTACGACCCACGACGACGACTACTACTTCTACTATCACGACTATTACTTAACATAGCTTGAATACTGCTTCTACTGCCACTTCTACTTCCACTTCCGCTTCTACTTCTAATCCTGCTTTTGCTTCGGCAGCTGCTGCTTCCCGCTACCACTACTTTTCTTACTATGACCTTGGCCACCACGGTAGCGCTTGCAACCAGTCTGTGACAAGGTTGTACAAAGCTGCTAGCAGCCTTGGCACATGCTTAACAACGGAGACGAACGGCAACGATGATAGCAGTGTTAGTTTCATCATTGGCTGATTTTTCAACGAAAGTAAGACCTGACGGACAAGCAGTGAACAGCACTGGGAGCACGACTTATCATCCTCTTAGTCCGCCATGTCGGTCTGTGCAATGACCAAGAACTAGCTTGTAAATGCGTCGAAGACCGATCAAGAAATATCAACGAACGACAGACAAGCAGGAGCTGCATAGTCAAATTGGAGACATGAAGGAGACATGCATATAGATGTGATGTTGACCTATGTAGTGCACGAAGGATCGCACAAATGAGCTCACGGATCGAGAGCTCATCTGACATTCCTATTGCATGAACTCCAGAAGGCTCCATGTACCCATATACTGGATACTTAGGCCTTAAAGTACCTATATACGGACCCCTTTAAGGCTTAAGTTTCTATTATGAGGGTACATGGAGCCTTTGGGACTAGCAGACGTGGCCGTGCTCTTGGCCTCGGCGAGATTTCTGCTGTTCTGCTTCTGCCGCTGCTGCTGGCTGTGATGGTAATAGCCCGAGGATGTTGACGGTGATGATACTGTTGATGGACAAAATCCTGCATTACTCTTTATAAGGAATATACCATAGTTCCCATAGTTTAGAGTCCTTAGGGTCATGAAGGATTTTGTCCATCAGCAGTAGTTCTTGTTTTGAGGATGCTGCTGTCGCTGAACTCATGACGTGTGCCTTTTTCTTTCATGACTGCAGGAGCTACAGTTCCGCATCGAGAAGTTCCTCGAGTATCAGACCGCCAAGGCCCGACGCAGCCCACACGCCAAGCAAAGCCCAGAGGCCAAAATCCAAGAGACCCCAAAGCCTAAGCCCTAAACCCTAAAACCCTAAAACCCTAAAATCCTAAAACCCTAAACCCTGAACCCTAAAACCCTAAGCCCTAAACCCTAACCCCTAAAGCCCTAACCCCTAAAACCCTACAACCCCAAACTTCGAGACCGACGCTGAAACCCCCCTAAGGCCCTCACCCTCTAAACTTGATCCACGGTTTAGGGTTTAGGGTTTAGGGTTTAGGGGTTTAGGGTTTAGGGTTTAGGGTTTAGGGGTTTAGGGTTTAGGGTTTAGGGGTTTAGGGTTTAGGGTTTCGGGCCTGAATGCCTCCGAAAGCCTTCTAAGCCTCTCAACTGTCTTTGATGGAATAGGGATTCTACGTTTCTTTCGTTGTCATTTTCTTTTGGTTTCTCTTGCTCAGCCGAAACAGAAAAAACCGAAACACAACACCCAACAAAGGCACACACACTACCGGATAGTTCTGGACCTTCAATCCTTAGAGTGTCCTACACCCTAAACCCCAAGCCCTAAACCCTACCCCTAAACCCCAAACCTTAAACCCTAAACCCTAAACTCCTCAGACTGTCCAGGAGCAGGAGCACGTGCAGCCGGCCATGGTCGCACACCTCGCGAAGCTGCCTCTTGCCAGAGTTGGGGCTTAGGGGTATATTTGGAAGCCTCGATGATGACCAATATTACGCCTTAAGCTTCCTTCTTGTATTTATGGTATAATATACACCGAAATCCTATTCTATTTATTAATGCCCTGGTATTGCAGTTCAGGGTTTAGGCTTGAGGTGTTTAATGCTTATATTGCTTGGGTTTAGGAGTCTAGGGTTCAGGGGTTTACTAAGTTTGAGGAAGTTAGTGTTTCGGGTTTGCAGTTTGGTTCTTTTGGGGTTTAGGGCCTGAAACCCAAGACAGTACATAATTCTGTGCCTGTTTGGGCTGTCCACATGGGGATGCTAGTTAACGTAAACCATGAGCACTCAACACGCTGCACTGCTCAACCCAGCCTCCAAGAAGTCCCGTCCAAAGCCTGAAACCTTAACCCTAAACCCTAATGTTTAAACTCTTCCACCTTAATTGACCCTAAACCCTAATGTTTAAACTCTTCAACCTAAAGTAACCCTAAACCCTAATGTTTAAACTCTTCAACCTAAATTAACCCTTAACCCTAAACCCTCATGATTCAATTCTTCAGCCTAAATGAACCCTAAAGCCTAATGTTTAAACTCTTCAACCTTAATTAACCCTAAACCCTAATGTTTCAACTCTTCCACCTTAATCCCCAAGCCCTGCATCCCGAGAGTCTCAGCACTTCAAAGCCCTTCCAGCCGCAGAGTCCTAGAGCCTTTAACCCTAAAGCCCTGCTTCAGAGGGGTAACTGTCCAAGTTAGGGTCCTTTTTAACTTCCAAAACTAAAGGGTTTAGGGTTTAGGGTTTTACCCAAAAGGGGTCCATGATTTTGACAGTTACTCACACATGTTGGAATGGGAGGGCGACAGCTGAGGTCTCAGCCGCTGAAGAACGAGTTGCAGTACACCATCATGGCCTGCCTGTGCTGTTTTTCTTACGGTTTAAAGTCTAGGCATCAGTGTTTTGCAACGGAGCTTCGGGTGTAGGTTTTGGTGTTTTAGTCCTTAAGGTTTAGGGTTTCAACTTGTTAGGTCAAGGGCTTGCGGCGAGCTTCAGATTTCTATGCTCTGGAATCGGGGTTCCTATGTTTTGGAGTCAAAGTTTTGAATTTCAGCCTGCACTTGTGCAGGTGCAATGGCTGCGCGGCCACCCGTTCTTCTCCAAGATCTGTGAGCCTTCATGGATGGCGCATTTGCAGCCTGAGTGTTTTAGGGCCACGGCTCAAGTTCATGGGGTTTTTTGGACCGACAGGTACCCACATGCCAAACTTCATGCACAAGCTCTGCAGCACGGCCATCAAGGAGTCCCTTGGCGAGTGAAGATCAGATCCAGTCGCTCATGGTTTTGTTGGGACTCTGGGGTTGCCTGCAAACACGCGGCGCAACGTGGGAGTTGGGAACCTGAGGGATGGAACCCAAGGCCAGCAGTGGTAATCATGTTGTAAGGACCTCCACAGAGACCTTAAACCCTAAACCCTAAACCCTAAACCCTAAACCGGGACCCCAAGATGAAGCAACCCAACCCCCACATCAAGGAAAGTTCTGGGCAGCGGAGACATCGTCTTTGAGGCTGGGGAGGAATGCAGCCAGGTGTACTTCCTCAGCGCCGGCCTCATCCTCGAGCATCCTGGGCCAAAGAGTGAGTTTAGGGTTTAGGGGTTTAGGGTTCAGGGTTTAGGGCTGCTGTCCAAAATATAGGTGGCAAAGCTTGTGCCTCATGCAGAAGATGTGCCTCTTAACCCACCAGACCTTGAATCCCAAAGCCTCTGCCAACCCCTCCAGGCACCAGAAAGTCGCAGTAACACCCTTTAGAAGCCTGTGTGAGCCCTACCAAGCCTCTCTCAAGCCCGAGTAAGGCTCTGCTCAACCAAGGTACACGCACATTCGGGAGACAGCGGAGACATCCAACAGGCTCCACTCGAAGCAATGGTGGGGGGCTCGGAGAGCAACGGACCCTCAAATTAAGTGCAATGAGGGCTATGTAAGTGTTGCATGGCTATGCCCGTGGCTATGTCGCGCAGCTGATTTCTATAAGAACAGGGCCTCTAGATGCAGCGCAGTCTGGATGTTGTGCCTTACTGTAGACGCCGGCGCTCCACTCAAGAGTCCTCGGAGCGAAGACCTTGAGCCCCACCAGCATTGCTAAATGCTAGGCCCGTTTGAGACCCTTATCAGTCGTACCATAGAGCTCGATAAAGTACATACCGAGCCCCTCAATGGCGGAACCTCCGGCATCTTACCAAAAAATTTTAGCCCCAAGCAGCCGACCAGTGGGCTTAGCTTTGTGAGATGCCCAGAAGCTCGATAAGTTTTAGGCTGTAGGGCGAGGGGTTTACGGGCTTCCTTGACATTTTGACTCCCAACCCTCACGGTAGAATCCGTAAACCCCTCGACCAATCCTTAAGCTAAACCCTAAACCCTAAACCCTGCAATCCCTGAACCCTAAACGCTATACACCCAAAACCAAAGATACATCTTAACTCCGAAAAACTCTAAAGCCCCGAGTCTTCTGCGAGGATCTCGGAGCCCGCCCTGTGGACCCCTTGGAAACATCTCGGCGTCTGCGAAGCCGAGAAGCCGGGTTTTCCGACTGCAAGGGAGGGTTTAGGGTTTAGGGTTTAGGGTTTAGGGTTTAGGGTGGGAGGAGCTTTTTGTTTGTTGGGGGTTTTAGGGTTTAGGGTTTCGGGTTTTAGGGTTCAGGGTTTGCACGGTTTAGGGTTTAGGGGGGGTGGCCTGGTGGTGGGGGGTTTGGGGTTCAAGGTTTAAGTTTTTTTTTTTTTTTTTGGGGGGGGGGGGGGTGGGTCTGGTGGTGGGGGGTTTGGGTTTAGGGTTTAGTATTTAAAGGTTGGGTGCTGAGGGTGCAGGGGGTTCAAGCGGTAGAGTGTGGTTCGGGCATGGGAGTTTCGGGCGTAGAAGGTTTTGGGGCCTAGGGTGCGATAGGGTTTAGGGTGTCGTGGTTGGGGTAGCAGTCACCTTCATCCGGAATGAAGCATAACATGTAAGAGCCGGTTAAACTAGGGTTCAGAACAGTTCAACAGGATCTGTTGATCCCTTAATGGGGTTTCCTGAAAAGTACCCTTAGTAGTATAGGGCCCCAATTAGGGAATCTACTTTCTAGCTCCTCCCGAGGGTCTGGGAAGCAGTAGCATCGTATCAGTAGAAGGAGCAGGAGTGGATCAGCCAAATCGGGTTCGGCCCCAATTAGGGAATCTACTTTCTAGCTCCTCCCGAGGGTCTGGGAAGCAGTAGCATCGTATCAGCAGAAGGAGCAGGAGTGGATCAGCCAAATCGGGTTCGGCCCCAATTAGGGAATCTACTTTCTAGCTCCTCCCGAGGGTCTGGGAAGCAGTAGCATCGTATCAGCAGAAGGAGCAGGAGTGGATCAGCCAAATCGGGTTCGGCCCCAATTAGGGAATCTACTTTCTAGCTCCTCCCGAGGGTCTGGGAAGCAGTAGCATCGTATCAGTAGAAGGAGCAGGAGTGGATCAGCCAAATCGGGTTCGGCCCCAATTAGGGAATCTACTTTCTAGCTCCTCCCGAGGGTCTGGGAAGCAGTAGCATCGTATCAGCAGAAGGAGCAGGAGTGGATCAGCCAAATCGGGTTCGGCCCCAATTAGGGTAGCCCGAGAAGCAGTAGCATCGTAGCTCAGCCAAATTTCAATTAGGGAATCTACTTTCTAGCTCCTCCCGAGGGTCTGGGAAGCAGTAGCATCGTATCCAGCCAAATCGGGTTCGGCCCCAATTAGGAATCTACTTTCTGCTCCTCCCGAGGGTCTGGGAAGCAGTAGCATCGTATCAGTAGAAGGAGCAGGAGTGGATCAGCCAAATCGGGTTCGGCCCCAATTAGGGAATCTACTTTCTAGCTCCTCCCGAGGGTCTGGGAAGCAGTAGCATCGTATCAGTAGAAGGAGCAGGAGTGGATCAGCCAAATCGGGTTCGGCCCCAATTAGGGAATCTACTTTCTAGCTCCTCCCGAGGGTCTGGGAAGCAGTAGCATCGTATCAGTAGAAGGAGCAGGAGTGGATCAGCCAAATCGGGTTCGGCCCCAATTAGGGAATCTACTTTCTAGAACCTCCCGAGGGTCTGGGAGGCAGTAGCATCGTATCAGTAGAAGGAGCAGGAGTGGATCAGCCAAATCGGGTTCCACTGTCCCAGGTCGGGTTAGGGTATATCTCGGGCCCTCCATAAGGGTGAAGGCCTGGGGGAGAACAGCCCACTCTCTGATCCCAACCGAAACAATCACAACAGTCTGCCGCAATCCCAAACCCGAAACAGCAAAATCCATGTCAACACTGAGCCATGGACCCCAATCGCTGTACCTTGACCTTGTCGGATGTTGTTTGGATCCTCATCTGACAGGTGTTTGCGTTTAGGTCCCAGGCCCCAAGAGGCCCGAAACCGAGGTGAGAATAATTATTGATCATATTTCCTTACAGACCCTGTATATCCATACTATCCTGATCATTACCTAAGGCCTTAGTACTGGCCCTTACATGCAAAGATCCGACATGACTTCTTCAACCCAGCAAGTCCTAAGGCCTAAAGCCCTGACGCCCCGAATTCCGAACCCCCCCGAAAGCCCAACTCAAAACCCTAAGCCCCAAAATCTAAACCCTAAAACCTCAACCCTCAAAACCCTAAGCCCTAAAACCCTGAACCCCTCATGAAGAGTAAGATCGCTGAGGAGAAATTATTTCGGTGGACACGGCGACCTTTTGCAAGGACCTGCCTCGTTGAGACCCATCAAGCCTTGACGGGTTAGGCTGTAGGGTTTTGTTTAATGCTTAAGGGCTCAGGGTTCAGCTTGTTCGTTTTGGAGTTGAGGGCTTGATGTCTATATGGTCTGCGGGCATGCAGGAGATGTCGGCACACCCCGCACCGAAGTCGCTACTTGAAATGCACGGTGGCTGTGCGCAAGTGCCAGAGGTGCTACATGGCCTAGTAACCAAGCGTCTGTCTAACCGGGTGGAGGGTGATCCATCGGGAGGGTTTAGTTCGGCACCTACTATTCAGGGTACTGAATAGTAGGTGCACCTAATATTTAGGGTACCCAACAAGGGACCATCATTTTGACAAGCACCCATCAGTAACCCTAGACCCTAAACCCTAAACCCTTCCGGGCTCATGAGCCAGCTGCCCAAACTCGGGAGCCTTGTAGCCCTTTGCATCAGGCCGCAAGCTGAGCCACCCTGAAGCCTAAACCCTGAACCCATTCTGGGAAAAAACCTTCCAGGCCTTCCATTGACTGCCCTCGTGATCACATGGGAGCGTGAATAATTGCTACGAGCATTCCTGAGGCTTCCTTGATATACTTATACTATAGCATACCCCAAAACCCCAATGGCCCTTGTCACAGACCCCTCGTGAGACCGCCCAGGTTGTGTGCGGCATATGCGAGACTATTCGTCCGAAGCCTAGGTTTAGGGTGTAGGGTGAGCCGTGCGGGCTGCTATGAAGGTTGTATAGAGCATGATGTGGATTTAAGTTGGGGGTTTGCAGCCTCTCTGCTCATTGGTGTTACGGTTGAATTGTGGGCGGTAGTCTTTCTTGGTGTTGATCGTCTTCATCTTCATCTTCTTCACAGCAGTACCCTTCGCCTCAACATTATTGTTGTCTTGATTATTGACTTTTTGGTTCCGTTCGTAGCCTCCTGATACGGACTCTCTCTCTTTATATATATACAGATATATGTATATGTATGTATGTATATATATATATATATACACAACACACACATATGCACCCACATAGGCATGCATGCATGCATGCATGATGTATACCACATACATATATATGTACATACATACATACCTATACCTACCTACATACCTACATACCTACATACATACATACATACATACATTGTTCGGTGTTGTTATGGTCACTGCTTTTGCTATCTAGGTTTCGTCCGATGATGTGTGTGAGCTTTTGTCAGGCCTCGGGGTGAGTCTACGGGCCATCGGGCGATTTGATTGTCTTGAGTGATGTTTTGAGGGTTCCGACGATCGACCTCCGGAACTAATTCTGCTGCAGTGTGCTCCGCATGCAGGCGGCGGCAATAATCGCAAAGGTCGCCGGGAGAATCTGAGATTTAGAGGAAGGACGCCCTAAGTGGTCACACGTACATAAAAGACCGCAGGGGTTTTCGCAAGGAGCGTTTTATTAGAATGTGTGATCTTAACCCACTGGCCCACGCCTGCCATCAACATTAAGCAATGTGTATATACGCTTGTTGAAAGGACTGTGCAGGATCATCCTGGCTTGAAACTTAGGGCGTTGCACGTTTTCTTAGCAGACCTTCCCTCGCTGCTTTCGAAAGTCGCAGTCGGGCTTCAACTGGGACCGCCAAACAAAGCTGTAGAGACACCCTAACCAGCGTCAAAAATGCGGAGTTGGAAAAAAGGTTGTTGGCATCAGAACGAAAGCACCCCCCCCACCCCCCACCCCCCCAGCCCCCCCGCTTCCCAAAGCAAAGCAAAGTCCTATCGTAGCACCGAAACCGCAAAACCTGCAGAAAAGCGCGCGTCCTGATACGGACGTGTGTGGCCCTAAGTCCCAACCCCATATATCCCACCCAATTTGATCGCACAGCTCCCACCGCCGCAGGTCGAATGCTTAAACAGCATGCCAAAGCACACGATGAGCGACGTCTTGGATCAGACGATCCTAGAATCTCGACAGATACAGAGAGATTGCGAGGGAGATTTGCCTGAGTGAAATGCCCTGGTGGACAGCGGTCTGGTCTTGTCAGGACGTGTCCGCGATCGTCGAAAAGGCATCCCATGTTGCCGCGGCGCTGGGCTACAGCACCACGTCGAACAGTGTCGCCCTGAATTCCCCTTCGTCTGCCCAGCTCTAAGAGTGGCGCAGAGGGTTTCTGCACAGTAGTTAGAGAGATTCTCGCAGAACAGTTCTTCGGTCTCGACCGCAGGCCCTTCAAGAAATGTGAAGGTGTGCCCTTTCTGGACCGAGATTTGCGACAAAGTGCACCTGGAGGGCATGACAAACGTCATGCGAGTGGCGCAGATGCCACTTCCAGCACCTGCAGCACCTGTCACGTTGGATCGCTCGGAGCAAAGAACGCGAATCCCTGGGCCTTCCTAAATGCTTGCACTTGTCTCATGCGGGCTAAGTCCGGCTAGGCGGTGTGCATGTAGGAATGTAGGTAATTAGATGCGTGGGTATACATGTACACATGTACACCCACTTTTAGGAATGCAGGTGCGCAGCAGGTGCAGGTACACCACTGCGTATGATCAACGACACACTCTGCAGTCTGTCTCTCGCTTTGGTTGAGGCTTTGATATCCCTGAACCCTGGTCTACCCTCAAAACCTCAAGCTTAGCACTTTAAGGTGTCGTGATTTCGGACTTTTTGCGTCCAGGCTGTACCCCTAAGCCCTAAATCCTCAAAGTCACTCTCTGTTCAAGCAGTTCCGGGGTCGTTTATTCTTCATATCGGGACCTCAATATTTGGAATCAGCAGCTAGAACGTGCTATAACGAAGCTTTCAAGTGCTTCTGAATGCAGCAGTTTTCCCAGTGCCTTGTGAGCCAGTCCAGCGGGCAAACTCAGGCAGCAATGCCCCACACCCCGAGCCCCCAACCACTCTAACCCCTGAAACCCCTAAACCTGGAACCCCAAACTTTAAACCCCAAACCCTAAACCCCAAACCCTAAACCCAAAAGCCAAACCCCAAGCCCTGAACCCTTAAGCTCCAAGTCCCAGACATGTCTGCGCTGCACCAGCCCCCCAAAGTTAGCTGTCCTCAGTAGCCACTTCCGATGGCTGGCCCGCACCGATTCGATGCGCCTGCGCCGAAGACCCAGTCGCTAATTGAGGGTGCAGGGCTTGAGGTTCAGGGCTTCATAAGGGTTTAGGGTTTAGGGTTTAGGGTTTAGGGTTTAGGGGATGTTTTGGATATCTGGGTGGTTTTGAAAGGTTGTGGAATGAAAGGCTCCCTGTTACTAACAGGGGCCTAAACCCTAAACCCTAACTTAGGGATCTCTAAAAACAAGGCCCTACACGGCCCCGCGACTTCGGTGCTATACGTTAGTGTCAGGCTTTCGATAGAACCCCCGTACAACTACAAGCACGGCCGCAGTAATGATGCACCATCTCGAAAGCAACCACCATGCAGAAACGAGTAGAACTCATTCAATAATTTTGTTTTTGAAAGGTGGTGGAACCTTTTCCAAGGATGGTTGAACAGGACAAAGACCTCAAGAGGTATGTGCTGAAGCCCAAAATCCCCAACGCACGAGTCTTTGAAATTCCGGCCATCGATCTCCGATTCAATTTTGGGTCAGCCCTCCTCTGAATTGTTTTTTTAACTCGTTTCGCCGACCTCTATATAGGATTCCAAGGTCTGGTGCGAAGGCCCGAACAGCACAACTCCCTATGCCAAAACAGCCGCTGCTCTGTGATCCAGTTTGCACCTCCTGATACGTCTGCATGATGACATCTTTGTCTCGCCTATACTGTTAGAGTCCTGTTCTCTGTGCATGTTATGCGAAGAGATGTCCATGCTATGCTACTCACTCGTGTACAGTACAGCGCTTTGCCGTCGTGTTGTCGTCTAGGCATGTTAGCCCTTAAACCCGAAACCGCAGCAGTCAGGCTCCAGGCGCAACAGCGTGTCCCCAAGGTCACAGCGGTTCCGGGGCTGCAGTTGTGGCTTTCCTCGAGCTTCTTGCGGTTCAGCGGTGAGGGCTTCTTGGGTTTAGTTTGTGTTAGGGCTTCACGGCTTCAGGTTTTCCTTTTTTGTTGGGGCTTGCTTTTGGCATTAAGGTGTTTGGGTCCGGGTTTTGTAGGCTTCGATCTGGACTGAAGGCATCAGAATTTGGGCGCTCACGGCGTTCGGGTCTGCAGGGTTTTGGGTTGAGGCAACCACGGTTCCGGAAATTTCGGGAAAGGCCGTGTCCTGCTTTCCTCCAATCCGGTTCGGGAGACTAACATACCTGTACCGTGATTGCACGGTGCTTGTAACCCCCACAGCCTGGGGCTGTATTTAGGTGGCTTACTTGGAGGTTCATGGGTAGGTATAATAAGTAAGGTAACTATACATATAACCCTTACTAGGGAACTTAGAACCCTACTTATTAGTACCCATGAACCTCCAAGTGCAGAAAGGCAGTGCTTAAAGGTTTAAAAGTTAGACCTACAACTCCAAGCCCTCCCGAGTTTCAATCCTTGATAGTGTCAGGCATCCTTCTTCAGATCCCCCTCTTTACCAAGCCGGGGTTCTTTTTTCAATGTCTGAGAGGTTTCGTGTTAGATTGAGAGGCCCTTCCGTTAGACTGGGAGCCTGGTTTGGGGAAGACTTCACGGCCTTTCTCGGCCTTCTGATAGCTTTAGGGTTTAGGGTTTAGGGATAGCCTGACCCGAGACCCCGAACCCTGAATCCAAGGCCCTAAACCAGGGGGCCTACCTGGATGCGACAGGGCACGGCACTCGTGAGTTGTCGGGTTTTCAGGATTTCGGCTAGGGTTTGGGGTTTGGGGGGCTGATGCTGTTGGGCCTGAGTCTTCGAAAGCTTGTTCAGGGCTTCGGAGTGCTTCCTCTTCTGAGCTGGTCACTGTTTTGGGTTCGAGTGCCGATTATCCGGGTGCGTGCGAACTGTTCTGAATCATCGACCAAGGGCCCTGGTTTGTGTCCTCAGCCATTCCGCAGTATGGGAGGTGGCGCTTTGTTCAAACAACCACCCCCGATCTGGGTTGGAAACGGGAAACCCTGAACCTATACACTCCTAAATCCCCAAAGCCGGAAAACCCTAAACCCTAAACCCCGAAAGCTCACCACACCCCGAATAAACATGTTTGTCATGGACGAACATGTGAAGTTTGACTTGAACGTCTCGCAACAGCCCGGAGAGGCCGCGTCTGGGCACGGTATGCTATATGGGGGTTTCCGAAAATAGGGGACTCTAATATAGTACTTTAAATAGTAGGATCCTTATTATAAGGACTTCAAAACACGGTACCCCTATTTTTCGGAAACCCCCATATCTTTGCCTACGCCTCACCACCCTAAGAAGTTGAACTCCTAAAGATTCCTTAAGCCGCAACTCGTCCCTAAGCCAGGTCGTCAGTCGCCAGGCACGGCGGCTTGGGGTGCGATTTCCCAGAGAGCCCGATATGCCTTAACTAAGGAATGTAGCTTAAATCATAATACGAAGCCCCTAATGGTTTAAGGTATATTCCTTAATTAAAGGGTATTGGGCTCTCTGGGTTCCGATCTCAGCTTCAGGGTTTGAAGGCACTGCGGACCTAGCGCAGGCCCCGAAGCTTGGGACCGCAGCCCGCAGACTTCGAACAAACAAGCCCCGGATCTCAAGCCTTATAGTTTGGGCTATGAGTTTAGGCTTTAGGGCTTTAGGGGTTTAGAGCTTAAGGTTCCTCTATGGGTTTAGGGTTTAGGGCTTGAGGCTTTAAGGTTTAGGGCTTGAGGGTTTAGGGTTTAGGGTTTACGAGTTTAGGGTTTAGGACCCTTGAAGAACTCGACGCCCGAAGCATTCTCCCAATGCCAGAGAGTAAGCGCGAAGGCATCCGAGAGCTGTGGCCCTCCTTCTATTGGTATAAGTCCTGCATTACCTTAAGGACCCTAGACTATGGGATCTATGCTATATTCCTTGTTATGGGTAATGCAGGATTTATATCATCAACCGTTGTAGTGTTTTGGCTTCTTTGGGCCTGGGGTTTAGGATGTAGAGTTTATAGGGTTTAGGGTTTAGGGGTTTAGGGTTCAGGTATTGGGGCGAGGTTTGGGATTTAGGGATACAGAGTGTCGGGATTTTTTAGGGTTGTTGTCGGGTGTAGGGTTCAGCAACCGGAATTTCTGAAGCGACTGGGAGGCTTCGCGGATGATGTTTGCAAAAGCAGCTTTCTATTCAAGCCAAGGTGCTTTTCTGATAAGGTCTGGGGTGAAGGGTTTTTGGGTTTTGGGCTTCAAATTCCCCGACCAGAATCCAGAAACAAAACCAAAGAGCTGGCCCAAAACCCTCAATACCTAAGCCGCAAACGCAAATCCGACACCCTCCTGAAGCCGTAAACCCGAACAGCCTGAGTCATAAGGACCCCTGGGGGGAGGGGGGGTAGGCGTCTTAATACCCATAATAAGGACATGATAAGGCGTGTTTGAGGAAGTATAGTCCCCTACCCCCTCCCCTTAACCTTGTAAGGGTCCCTATGAGTTAGCAAAGCAGGGCGAGCATGGAAAGACCGCGCTTCTCGACTCCGGCCACTGTTGAGGCCGGCGAAGAGCACTTGCAGGTTCATGGGTAGTTTTATAAGTGGGTTATAAGTAAGGTAACTATACTTATAACCCTTATTAGGGGACTTATAACCCCAATTATAACTACTGATAATCTCACACCAAGTCGTAGTATACACATACACATCCAGATATAGAGAGAGCGCGTGGCGGTGCATTGCGGCCCCTGAGCCCGAAGACCCCCCCTAGCTTCCCAGAACATTGCTAGAGCAGAATGAATCCCGAAACCTTAGTCTGAATATGTTTAGTTCGCCCACACCGAAAGAATCTAGGTCCCGAGCCGTTGTAGGCTCTAAGTGCCCAGATCCCCAGTAGCCAATTCAGCCTTCACAAGCCTTGAGCACAGGGCCCTCCGCTTGGGCAGCGGCTTCCTTTTCCACAGGCCAGCAGTTGACTTTACGAAGTAATATGGGGACCTTAATAATTACCTATACTATTTTGGGGGCTCCTGTAAAGGGGTACTATAAGGGTTCTATACTAGGGGCCAAAATAATTACCTATATTATTTTGGGGGTTCCTTGTTATAAGTATGGTATAATGGGCCGCCAAGCCCCACTCTAATTATCAAGGCCCCTGTAGTAGTTCATTT